GAGTTGTTGCGGTGAGTTGGAGAGGTTGTTTATGAGCTTGCCTTACCTCCCTGTCTAGCAGGTTTTCATCCGGTATTCCATGTTTCTATGCTCCGGAGGTATCACGGTGATCCGGCTCATGTGTTGGATTTCAGCTCAGTCCAGTTGGACAAAGATATATCTTATCTTGAGGAGCCAGTGGCTATTTTGGACAGGCAGGTTCAAAAGCTGAGGTCAAAGAACATTGCTTCCGTGAAGGTTTAGTGGAGGGGTTAGCCGATCGAGGAGGTGACTTGGGAGACCGAGCATAATATGCGCAGCCATTATCCTCATATTTTCACCACTTTAGGTATGTCTCTATGCTCGTTCGAGGACGAACAATTATTTTAAGAGGGGGGATATAACGACCCGACCGGTAGTTTTGAGAGTAATAGCCCCGATTCCCTATTTACTATTTTTCCCGTATCTTTTTTCTGCTCATGTGACTTGCCGAGAGGTTTTGTTTGTGGTTTTGGAGTGTTTTGGGACACTTAGTCCCTAAAACGGAAGCTTAAGCCTTAGAATTTTTACCGTAGATGGAACTGTATGAAGACGACTCTGGAATGGAGTTTTGTCGGTTCCGTTAGCTGCGTTGGGTGATTTTGGACTCAGGGGCGTGTCCGGATTGTGTTTTGGAGGTCTGTAGCTCATTTAGGTTTGAAATGGCGAAAGTCAAATTTTTGGAGATTTTGACCGGTAGTGAACTTTTTGATATCGGGGTTGGAATCTGATTCCGAAAGTTGGAGCAGGTCGGTAATGTTGAACATGACTTGTGTGCAAAATTTGGGATCAATCGGACATGGTTTGGTAGGTTTCAACATCGGTTGTAGAAATTGGAAGTTTCAAGTTCATTAAGTTTGAATCGGAGGGTGATTCGTATTTGTAGCGTTGTTTGATGTGATTTGAGGGCTCGACTAAGTTCATATGGTATTTTAGGACTTGTTGGTATGTTTGGTTGAGGTGTTTCGGATGCTTAACGGATTGAATTTGGACTTATGTAAATTGCTGAAGTTTCTGGTTTCTGGTGTTTTCACGCCTGCGGAGACTCACACGTGCGGAAGGAGGAGCGCAGGTGCGGTTTGGTCAAGCTTGGGCTGTGGAGAATAGATGCGGAGGGTGTTCCGCATGTGCGAACTCGCACCTGCGCTTGGAGGGTCGCAGAAGCGGACGCGGGAGTTTGAAGTTGGTCCGCAGAAGCAGGTTTTGTTGCGCATAAGCGGGGTTATGACCGCAGAAGCGGTTGTGCAGCTTAGTGGCCTCCACAAATGCAAGGGGCGTACTGCAAAAGCGGTGCCGCATAAGCGGTTAATGTGATCGCAGAAGCGAGAAGCCTGGGCAGTGTTTAAAACCGAAGGGCTTCGTGATTTTTGTCATTTTGGACTTTGCAAACTCGGTTTAGGGCGATTGTTTAGAGCATTTTCGAGGGATTTCTTGTGGTAAGTCCCTTGTGTTTATTTTTTATCAATAATCTTGCTTCCCCATTTATTTTTTCACCTAGTTAGTATGTATTTAAGGTGGAAATTGGGAGTTGGAGGTTAGGGATTTGGAGTTGATTTGAGGAATTGAGTAGCGAATTGGTATCGGATTTTGGTAATTTTGGTATGGGTGAACTCGTGGTCAAGTGAGTGTTCGTATTTTGTGACTTTTACCTGATTCCGAGACGTGGGCCCGGGTCGACCTTTTAGGATGGATTTCGGATTTTTTGTTAAAGTCTTGATTTCATTAATTAGATTAGTCTATTATAGTTGTATTTATGATATGTAATTATTTTTGGGAAAGGCATTGTTTCCGATTGATTGAGCTTGGTTCGAGGTAAGTGGCTTGCCTAACCTTGTGTGGGGGAAATCCCCTTAGGATTTGGTACTGTTGTGATATATGAGCGCCGTGTACATGAGGTGACGGGTGCGTACACGGGCTATTTGTTATAAAATTGGATTTTTCACTGAGTAGTGATCTGTTTTTCATTTTAATTGAGTTACATCAGCATGTGTAATTACCCTGTTTAGTCTAATATCCCATGTCTACATGCTTTAACTGCTTATTTGAACTCTGTACAGCATGCCTAATTGATTTCCTATTTTCCCTTGATATTTTATCAGTCTTAACTATAGAATTCTTGGTGTTAACTGTTGTATTTATCGATTTGAGCTGTGTATTTACTTTTGAGACTACGAAGTAATTCCTCGGGAGTTCTCCCTGCATATTTATTTTTGAGACTACGAGACGATTCCTCGGGAGTTCTCCCTGCACATTTACTTTTGAGACTACGAGGTAGTTCCTCGGGAGTTCTCCCTGCACATTTACTTTTGAGACTACGAGGTAGTTCCTCGGGAGTTCTCCCCGCACATTTACTTTTTAGACTACGAGGCGGTTCCTCGGGAGTTCTAGGCGGTTCCTCGGGAGTTCTCCCTGCACATTTACTTTTGAGACTACGAGGCGGTCCCTCGGGAGTTCTCCCTGCATATTTACTTTTGATACTACGAGGCGGTACCTCGAGAGTTCTCCCTGTATATTTACTTTTGGGACTACGAGACGGTATCTCAGGAGCGCCCCTGTTGTTCTATCATTGTGCGGTGTTGTTATTGCTTTATGAATACTTGTTGTGGTCTTCTCCATTTTACTTCATTTTTATTATAGTATCTGTCTTATTATTATATCCCAGTAAGGCCCGGACCTAACCTCATCACTATTCTACCGAGGTTAGTCTTGGCACTTACTGGGTACCGTTGTGGTGTACTCATGCTACTCTTCTGCACATGTTTTGTGTGCTGATCCAGGTACTTCTTATCAGCCCCGCTACTAGCTGAGAGTGCTTGCTGCTGTACGGAGACTTCAAGGTATATCTGCCGCGTCCGCAGACCTCGGAGTCTCCCTCTATTCCCTCATATGTCATTTACAATCCTTACTTCTTTTATTAGATTCTGGTGTATAGAGATACTAGTTTCCTCTTGTAGCTTGTAACTTATAATTTTCCGGATTTTGGGAATACTGTGTATTATTAGAGTGTTGGTTATTGTAAATGCCAAGCGGCATTATTATCAGTTATTTAGTTATCTGTTACAGTTAGTTGTTAAGTTTTATTTTTATTTTTGTTATTTCCGCATCTTTGTTAGGCTTACCTAGTCGTAGAGATTAGGTGCCGTCACGACATCTTACGGAGGAAGAATTGGGTCGTGACAAATAACTCCTCATGTTTCTTAAAGATAATTTTCTCTAATTAAAATGATGTTGATGGTGATGAATTGACTGCAGGAAAATATTCCTACAATAGAAAAATATTCATACGATAAGTATATCAAAGTGGGGAATGAAATTGAAAGAACAAACGAATCCCAAAATGTAGAACCTAGTTTAATGGAGGATGCAACATATTTTTATGGAGGATGCCTCGTGGTAGTGAGATAATATTATCATGATAACCTAAAGTATTTATAGTAATCATCTTTAATTAACAAAAAAGAGAATTTTAAGGGACTAATTATGGATACGTTTCTAAATTAGATTCCTTTTTTTATAGGTTCTTTGCCGTATTTTAGGGTATATATTTTATACATTTATTATGTTTATGTTGTGGAATATGTTATTAGTTTAAATGTTGTAAATTCTGAATTTTTTTATGAATCCATACCTAAACATGAAAATTTCCCTTCAAACTAAGTTTCACATAGTCCATTACCACGATCCACGGGTCAATTTTCGAGATTAACTGTATGTCACTCACATCGTCAGAGTATTTATTTATGGCAACTGAAGCCCGTTACTAGCTTCTTCATGTCTGTGTGCGCCTCTAAGCTAGTACAGGCCGTCTCTAAGCTCGTAAGAGAAAGTAAATCGAGCCCCACGCCATGACTCTGCTATCACTATACTCATCTCGCCGAACCTAAACTCTAATAATAATTTTTAGGCTTAACCAGCTCAATGATACTCTTGATATGGTGGGGGAAAAAAAGAATAGATCATCCATTATTAGCCGATAAAATGTATATATTTTGTGTATATTAATGTATAATATGCATATTTTATGTACATAATTAATGTATATTTTTTGTATTTGGCTAACAAAAATAATTATTTTTGGTTGACCGATCAACTGTGTAACTTATCCAAAAATATTCATAGAAGATCCACAAAAATCTAACCATGGAAATTCGTAAATTATTGATGTCAAATATTGCTCCCAGTATACTTTTATATGATGGCGACTGAGTATAGAGTTTACAAAAATGATTACACATTAGCTAAATATATACAGAGAATATACCAAAAATACCTTTAAAATATTACTTTTAACATACCATATCATTCCCATAAAAAAGCAAGATATTAAAGAGCCATTTGGTTCACAGACAAGTTATGCTGGAATTATAATGCAGGGATTGTAATATTAGGATTAATAATTTGTTGATGATTAATTGCACATACTTTCTTTTACGAATGTTTGATTCATAACATTGAAAATGAGATACATAATGTATAATAAAAAATAAAAATAAAACGTGTTAGGGCTAAATATACCCCCCACTGTTGAGTGTTGACTACGTTTTAATATCACCCTCCATTCTCCTTGGGTTAAAATGTGTTTCAGTTAAAAGGCTTTGGATAATATTGGAATTTTAATATTTAGTCGGCCAACACTTTGAACCCTGATCACTGGAGATACGCTTGTAGAACGCAATTGTATAAGGATAGCTATTTTGAACTCATAACAAAATTTATAGTATCAACCGGAAAGATCTGTCACACATTACAAGCTTGTTTTCTTTCTGAGTAACTTTTACTCCTGGACGATGAACTCCAGGTTTGTATATTATGTCATCGTTCCATTAAAAATAAAAATAAAAGAGAACTAGGCCATAACAATTGCAGTAATAAGAGAACTCAGGAAACAATTATGTGAAAAGAATGTCATTTGGGGAAGAATACATACAAATGAGTAGTGAATTATGGTTTCAAATAAAAAGGATGGGGAAAAGCAGAGAATATTCAGATATAAATTCAATAACAATTGTCTGCCTCATATAATGTTTTTTTAATAAGTAATCCAAGAAAAACAATAGTAATACATTATAGCACTTTTAAAGACATTTTGAGGTTTTTGTGTTATAAGTTATAATCACATGAAGCCAAGATCTACTCCCTCAACTGGCTGGAGCATCTGTAACTAGCCCTTGTTTCAGAAAAGAAATAGATTTCATCACAAATGAACATAGATAGAGGACACAACTGGAATGAGCAAGTGTTCGTCCTCATCTCTTGTCCTTGAAGGAAGTACAAAGAATACATCTTTCTGCTCTTGCAGGAAGGGACAGTAGCCTCGCTGCTAAGATCACAGCTCAAAGAAATGAGCGACTCTTGGACAGGTATCAACAATTATTTAAGAAAACAAGCTCCTAAGAGGAGCTTCTGATTCAGTTGTTAGAACATTGCCCTCTATAAAGGTTATGTTGTTTCATATAATCAATTACTTCATCGGCTGTCAAGTACTTCACTGAGAACCCTTTCGAGATGCAGTCCCTGACATGAGAATCAAAAGAAAGTTTGTCCAACAATTTATCCTGATTCAATTCATATCCTCCTAGCTAGTCATATTGAGAATTTTTACCTTAATCCCGTTGAACTGATTCCATTAGGCACTACTTCATCCACAACTTTGATATTTTTCTGCAAAATTAAATGTTACAGAACACAATATATTACATGCCTCCTCGACCATAACCTCACGTTCTCTTTTATTTGGGAAAGGAGGGAGGGGAAGGGGATGAAGCTGTCTCTGAATTATGGTATTTTAACATCTCAATAATGTCTACCACCAGTGGCAACCCCCATACAACAGCCAATCGTCTCAGTTAATGAGCTTAAAGAGAAAAAGGGACACCGATTTTGAGTTCCTAATAAAGTTACCTTATATTCATTCAAAATATCATCACCGGCAATGATCTTTTCAACATCCTGACCACCTCTCCGGACACAAACCAAGCCAAAGTCTCTACATATGGTCCTGACCTATAAAATCAACAAATGAGCATATCCTATTTCTTCTACACAACACTTATAAGTGCATAACTTCAATCCAACATGAAGGAGGAAGTATTTCGCTTCTGATAAACCCCTTTAGATGAACTTACCTGCTCAGGTATCCAAACTCCAGGCGTGCTGAAAGATTCTAGCAGATCAGAACCACACACAAGCATGACCATGAGGTCTTCTGCAAGAAAAATAACCACTATTAGAACTTGCATGGAAGTTCGTAAGCATGACCATGAGGTCTTCTGCAAGAAAAATAACCACTATTAGAACTTGCATGGAAGTTCGTAAGCTACAATAGAATTAAACGAAAATTTCACTTGGATAGATAATATAAGTTTACAATGTGAACTAGCTAATTATTCCCTGCCTTACAGATAGAATGGCTTGTTCTTTTTTGCATGGCTTCTTATGGTTGCATAGCGACTAAGTAATAGTTTATTAGGTAGTAACTAGCATGTGCATTGATTTACGATAAGTGGGAATGTGGGACAAAAAGTTAGGTGATGGACTATGGTTGCTCAATTAATCTGTAAAAGTAGGAGTAACTGGACTTGCCATTATGTACAATAAGTGATGAAATATAAATTCTACGAAGTGAACATCAAATTGGCAGAACCGAATGGAGAATATGACATTTGATTTGAAGCATAGAAAGTACACATATTTACACAACAAAGCTACCTCCACAGAGAAATGTACTGCACAGTGATCTATTAACTAAATGCTCAAACAAAGATAAAGCAAGGCTTCAATACCTTAAGCACATTCTTTTTGTTCCAGTTTGGTTCAATTTCATTCTTCATTTTTTTATATTTGTTTGGTTGGGAAAATAGTATCGTCTGACTTTTCCTCAACTATAACCTGGTAAAACAAAATATATATGCTAAGCATGCCGCTGTCCCCAAGTTCTGAGCATTATTGCCAGCTAACCTACTACTACAATAGTCTTTACTCCATCCCTTGAACCAACTACCAAAATCATCCAAGGGGAATTGCGAGCAAGAACATGGAGGTGAAAGCCCGCCAGTTGGTGGACAAGGAATATTTGCTTATATGAGATGCAACTGAAGCAACCTCTTCAAAGTAAATCCAGAGTGCTAAGAAATTGCAAAACCAATGTTAGAGTTTGATGATTTGACACCACATACAGGAAATTTACCATGTTGTATGCTGGATAAGATGGAGGTGTCAACAATGAGTTCTAACTTCTACCACTTCCTGTAAGTTTACACAAATGGCCCTCATAAACCAAAATTTTCTGAGTAGAGGAATAAAGTAATATTTTCTCTTCTTTTTCTTTTATTGGGGTCGGGTTGGAGGTTGGGAAGGGAGTAGATAAATATTCTTTCACTAAAGAAAGAAGTGAGGATTCATATCCTGGACCCCAACTTTGTTTGGGACTGAAGCTTAGTTGTAGTTGTTGTTGTAATACACATCTACACTGTCTCAAAAGTATGTACAAAGTCGTAGTAAAGAAAAGGATTTTTTATTTATAAAAACGAAAAGCTATTTTCGGCAGGACTGGAAAGTTTCTCCTGTAAACAATTGACCATCAGACTAAATTCCTATGGAAACTCTGCCAACACACACTGACTGATGTCAATAATGGACCTTACCACTGGATGACAAACTTCCACCACAGATAGCGGACTTTATTCTGGAGAGAACTGTCAATGTTCGTTGATAGCTATCCTGGCTTGCCTGTACAATTATTTTAAGCAAAATTAATTGATAGGATGAAGGTAATTAAGTTTGTATCAGACTGAAGCAGTGGTGTAAAATACATCAAATAACTAGGTGTCAGCAGCAATTATACCAAGTAGGATCCTAATATTACTCACATCAAAAAGGAAGGTTTTTGGGTTTCTTTTTCTGGAGGAGGAAGAGAGAGAGTGAGAGAGAGACCTCCCAGGGATCTGTCATAACGAATTCTGAGCTTTTACAAGCTAACTGGCACATTGCAACACGATGCTCGGCAGATATAAGACCCTGCAAAGATAGGGAGGCAATGCATTAACAATACCGCTTTTTCGTGCATTAGTAACATTGACACCAGAAGCAGAGCATGTTCAATCTTTTATATATAGTAGACCAGCAAAAATGTTAAACATAGCAAGAAACTACACCTCATGACTAAGAACAGTGCGTGTTAGTATAACATTGTGTCAGGTCCCAGACCACGAACAATATACACTAGTTCATAATGCAACAGCGTGAAGATCAGAAGCAAGTAATAATATAGCAAAGCTACTTGTACATTATTCCTTTTTATTATCTCATTTCCAGTTACACATTTTAAAGCAGTTTCACTGCCTGGAGATATGCTACATACCTTCTTCTTATATGCATCATTTACTGGTGACATATAACCTCCAATTACGCAGAACCCTTCTGAAGTCAATGCATCTCTTGCCAACTCTGAATCAATATTGCCAAAAGTTCAGCAAAACCCACTAAATCGATTAAATGAACTTCATAGTCTAACATCATATTCATTTTGAGCAGCTTATGTTCTTGAGGACTTATGACTACTTACATGGTTTTTTCACATTCATCTGAATAGAAAAAGGCCAAATACATACAGACACTTAAACTAGTCGAGAAATTTCATCTAGACACCTAAACTCAGCCCATGACCTATTGAACACTCAAACTTTGCTCAATTTGTACCTATTAGGCACAAAGTACTGAGACAATTAAAAGAGAGAGTGTGTAGTTCATGCGTAGATGACTCAACAATAAAAGTCATTCAAATACAGACACGTGGATTCAGTAGCCAAATAATCCAAAAAACAGAAAAAGAATTTGAGCCCCAAAAAAAAATGCCTTCTCCTTCCCAGAAGCCAACATGAAACCACACCCACAAACATTTACCCATCATCTCTTTTCACCGGTGAAATCAGACCGAGCAACACCAGTCAAAAGCTAAAATGCTCATCCTTTTCTTCCTCCGGCTGCTTCTTTGATTTTTTACCTCCACTTTTCTCTGTAAAAGGCCAGCCAATTATAGACCTCAACCATACGAGATTAGTAATTACTAGATTAGCACTAATTTGAATATTGCAGGGCAATTTTTATATTTCTAGAAATAGCAAGAAGAGTTGGTATGCAGTTCTAGTGTCTTCCACCAGAGACCTTTCTATCCAAATCTGATCATCTAAGTCTTATAAAAGTTCTGAAAATTTCTTTCCTATGTATGTTCTAGTTGCGCTAATATAGCTCGCAAAGTGTTCAGAGCCATCGCTCTCTGCCCCAAACGCCGTCATTTCTGCCATTGCCAGCCGCAGTATATGGAGAAAGTATGGCGTTTGCCAGAAAAAATGGATTTCGCACAACTGGCCGTTTTTAGTTTCTGGACCAAATGTCATCACAGTTTATTTCATTGCCGTTGATTTTGGATTTTAGGTGCTGGAGCTATATTTTTTGTGTCGAAATATATCACGAATTGTGATTTTGAGGGAAGAATAATAAAACGTTGGGGTCTGGAAGAAGTAGATACCGATGAGTGATGGGAAAAAAGGAAGTGCGTGTAAGTCAGCAAGAGAAACACTGTAGAGGTTAGATAGTACGTACCAAAACAGCGCAAGTGCATGTAAGTAGGAGGATTGAAACTTCCTGTGGATACAAGAACTACATATGTCCTTTTCCTAGAAGCAAAAGAGAGAGTTAGCAACAAGGCGGATCCAAAATTTAGTTTTAAAGAGTTTGCACTGAAAATCGTTGTACTTTTGATATTATAACAACAACAACAACAAAATCAACAAAAAACCCAGTCTACTTTTGATATTATGAGTTCAGATAAAAAACTTGTTGGAATTTTAGTGATACTTCACATATAAAATTTAAACTGTGTCGAAAATACTGGGTTCGATTGAACCCGCAACACGAAGGATGCATCCGCCTCTGGTTAGCATGTTCCTGTAGAATATACTGAGGAAGTAGGGTGAAGAAGAAATAGTAAAATAAAGTAAATCAAATCCAGGTATGCTGGCAAGTAGGTATATTAACATCTTGCTCTTTTTGCTTTTATGCATTAAGTCACCACTGAAGTTTTTCAACACTACTGCAGTTGTGAGAGCTGCCACATCGGAAAGTGGACTTGGAAACTACTCAATTTTACTTCCATTATAAAGCTTGTCCATTTCATGGTGATTGACCCATGCCCCTTTCAAACATAAATTACATTTGATTTCTGAAAATGATGTCAGACTCTATCATAAACAAGCACATTTCATGACAATTGGCAGCTGCAATGGAAGAGTGAGAAGTAAATAGGCAACTATAAAACAAGTCAGTCAACATTGAAGCTTGATGTGATAATCTACTAGATATTAAATCAGAAACTAAAAATTAGTGTTGAGTTAGTCAAAGATCATATAATAAACTTACTTCCTTTCCGGACTTGATTGCCCCTCCTCTTGTTTTATTAAATCTAAAGACAGCTTATCCCATGGTAAAGCAATATCAGTCATACCTATGAATTCAAATAAATCAGTTAGCACCAAAAAACGGGAAGAAAAAAAAAAAAAAGCATAACCACAACCAACAAATGGTGACTCACATCTGCTAGCATACTTTAAGAAAAAGCATATCAAAGAACAAGTAGAATAAGATTTTTCAAAATTAAACTAGTCCAACCCAATCTATGTTCAAATTTTTTTCTTTTTCTTATCAATGATTAGAATAGCTACTTTATACAGAAATCAATTCTTCTTTTTCTTTTTCCCTTTATTGATCAAGAATACTGCAATTAATTCAAGACGACAGATTCTGGGAGGGATCAAAAACAAAATTGACAAATAATAAGAAAACACCACTATATCAGAGTAACAAAATCACCTAAGTAAAATCCCGAGTATCATAGCTGAAAGGTCATAAAAGCTATATTATGAATATTGATAGGGTATCACTGCCTTTTAGATGCTTGATAATAATAAAGGGATTACCTTTTACATGAATACCTTTGGGTGTGTTTGGTATGAGGAAGGTCATTTTTCGTGAAAATACTTTCTATGACGAAATCATTTTCTGGTGTTTGGTAATGAAAACACTTTCCATCAAAATGGAGAAAATGACTTTCATCACTTATGAGCGGAAGTCATTCTCCATAGAACTATCTTGACTTTTAACTTTATATTACTTGCTCCAACTAACACTTAGACATCTATATGTATATAAAACAACTATTCTTCGATGAGATGTCAGCACCAAGTTGATTTGGCATTAAACGCGTGAGTTTGTGCGAATGCTTCAAATGCACCTGGTGCCTTTTCGACTTACTCTACCCTTTCATCTTCCTTTCTTTCTCCTATTTAAGAGTTCAGAGTCCTAGGTTCCATAGATGCATTTTGAAGGAAGATGAAAGGATCGAAAAGGCACTGATGCATTTGAAGCATTTACATAAATCTTAAACATTATGCTTAATAATGTACTGAAAAGGGATGGATAAGTAGGACACTGGATATATCACATACTTTGTATGCGGATGACACCCTATTGTTGTGCAGAGCTGATAAGGAACAAATATTGCATTCAAGAGTTGTGTTGCTGGCTTCTTTGCAAAGTCCTGAATATTAATATATGCAAAAGTTCAATCTTCTCTGTTAATGCTGATAATGAAATTGGATCCCTGGCAGATTTAATGGGTTGTAAAATTAAGAAGTTTCCAACTACTTTCTTGGGGCTACTACTGGGTGCAGAACCAAAAGATAACATGTATGGCAAGGAGTCACTGAGAAATAAGAGAGAAAGCTAGCACCCTGAAACAACAGTATTTTCCGGGGAAGGTTGACTTTGGTGAATAGTGTGCTGGATGGGATCCCGACATGCTTGATGTTTACTCCCAATTCCTACTAAAGTGGAGCAGCAAATTGATAGAATCAGTAGGGAGTTTTTCATGGACGGGGAGTGCAAACAAGAAGAAGCTCCCTCTTGTAAAGTGGAGCACACTAAGGAAGGAAGGGGGTTAGGAGTGAGGAACCTCAAGCTTCACAACAAAAGCTTGCTTTACAAATGGTTATGGGAGTTTAATGATGGCAAAGAAGTAACCTGGAAAAAACTAGTAGATATTAAATATGAAAGAGAGGGGAACTGGGCTCCTAAACCTGTAAAATCAACATATGGTTTACAGGGAAATGAACAGTCAAATCACCTTGGTCTTACAAAATATAACCCAGACTCACACAATTCAAACTTTAACCCAAAAAATTCCCGAAGGAAAAAGGTGATCGATAATAACTGTGGCAAGAAGCTACTTACCTGACCGGAAAATGGCCTTTGACAAGGTCTTTGAGCGCAGGAGTTACCCCAGCAGGTGAAAAATTCTATAAAAGATAGTTAATGGATTTGGGGGAATCGCGCATTAGCTTGATGATCCCTCTTTTCAACAAGTCTACTATGGCTTTGCACTTACTCCCTTTTGTGGGGCGAAGTGCACAAATAACCACTTTCAACGCCACTGTCTAAACTCTGTTCCTAAACACTTAGATCGCCCTTAAACTTGGCACGTTTTGTGTGTTTTGCACTCCATATTGGCGCGTGAATAGCTTAAATTAAGCTTTTTCTTATCTTTTTTCCCCTAAAATTTTTCAACGTATCTATGTTTTACATTTCAGCATATGGGCCCCATAATTTCACCCTCCTTCACTACTTTCCTCAGATTCTTTCATCTCCGCCTTCATCTATGGTGCCTTTTCTTCATTTTTGCAAGACCAACTAGGTCAATACTATATCACAATCTATGTTGTATTAAAAGCACGAATGACTTTAGCGAAATGTCATTCGATTTTTTTACACTCTAAAGATAGAGTTTATATGAGACAAAATAGTCATTTAATTATTTCCCTAAAATTTTGGACTTTGAAATCAACTAAAAATTTATTTATTAAATACTTCCTTATTTTAACTACGGAAAAGGGCTAAAACTTCCCCTTAAATATTGAAATTGGTATAAAATTGCCCTCCGTCCATCCATTTGAATAAAAATGTCCCTACCGTTATTTTTTTGGCTCAACATTACCCTTATTACTAACGGAAAACTTTGTAAAAAAAAAAATTAATTAATATCCGCGTGTCACCGTTCCATTGGCCTAACTTAAATTTCAACTAAAATATAACTATACTCACCCGTAACCCGTCTGAATATTGACCCACTCCGATTTTAAAATACAACTCTCTCTCTCTCTCTGCCTTGTTGCTACTTGGGCGGAATTCACCGACGGATCCGCCGGAAATAGCAATGTACACAGTAGCTTATCTCATTTACAAATTATGAGTAGAAAATTCTTTTATTTTACTAGACTTAACACAGTAATCTAATCGAGAAAATTGAATCCATGGTAACAATCAAAATAAGAAAACAAATACTAGTGAAGAAATTATCTATAAAAATTGTTAACTATTATTAGTACATCATATGAACCCAGTGTGTATGAAATGTGACAATTGCACAATACCCGTTACATGGAGTAGAAAAGCTTACATATTAATTGAATAAATAGTGAAATAAATAAAAAATAGAAATACACATCACATAAACAATAAAAAAAATTAAAAAAACATCCTCAAATTTTTACGGAGGAACCACAAAAAATAGTGAAAAAATCCTCCCACAAATTTCAAATAAAGAAAAATTATATAATAAAGAACACCCATTGCATAAACAAAAAGAATCTAAACATTTTGCATTAAGAAAAATATGACAATTCCTTTCATCTTCCATAAAAATAATTCTAATAGAGAACTCAATTTTGAGTTTGCTTCATGAATAATAGTAGACATACACGTGTAAGTAAATGCTCACTAAAATGAAATAGCGGAGAGAGAGAGAGAAAGAGAGTTATATTTTAAAATTGGGGCGGGTTAATATCTGGGCGGGTTACGGGTTAGGATTTATGTTAGGCCAATAGGATGGTGACATATGGATATTAATTAAATTTTCTTTTTTATGAATTTTCTGTTAGTAATAAGGGTAATGTTGAGCCAAAAAAATAACGGTAGGGATATTTTTATTCAAATAGGTGGAGGGAAGGCAATTTTGTACCAATTCCAATACTTCAGGCGCAGTTTTGCCCTTTTTCGTCTTAACTATGTACAAGATCCTAAATATTAGGATTCTTCTTAAATCCTTCTAAGTTTCCAAGTTGTTTTTTAAACCATGTCAGGAACCGTTAGTCAATTTTTTCCCAAGTCTTTGGCCTTTTCATTTTGATAAAATATAATTTAATCATATTTAGTATCAAACTTAGATAGTTAAATATAATAAAATTCTATCTTTGTCCAAATTCCCGTCAGGCATATTTATTTTTCAAGTCTTTACCCTTTTTGTTTTGTTATAAATAATATAAATTATGCTTGAACTTAAATAGTTAAATATAATAAAATTTCATCGTTGGCCAAATCCAAATTATACATAAGTTTTTCACCTTTTTAGTCTATTTCTGTTAGACTTATCGGCTAATTTGGTAACCAAAAGCGAAAAAACAGGCAAAATAAGTTTTTTAACAAATTGTTCTTTTGAATTTTGGTTTTTTCTTTCTCCGTTTATTGAAATGTTACGATAACATTTTGACATATTTAATTAGAACCGTCCCAAAATATCATAACCATATTTGGTGTAGTTGGAGCAATTGTATATTGATCACGCCCAACTATGCCTTGTAAAAAGGACTAAGCGGTCGCTGCAAATATAACCTGGTTCAAGTCCGGAGTCGAATCCCACAGGGAATTAATCTATTTGCTACAACCTTAAATAATGTTAATGATAAGCTCAGACAACTTCCAGATGCAATAGTTTTATGAATAATCAGTGGAATTTATTTAGCCAAGGAAAAATGACAATAAAATTAGCAATAATCAAGACTAAAATTGAATTCAAGGGTAAAAGAATCTAGGGCTATTGATTTTTCCAATTGCCGGATTAATTCTCAACTCTTTATCTATAATCTTGCCATAATATTGTATGAGGATTATGAGTTCCGGGCTACCGTAATTACCTTTCGATCAATTACGATAATTTACTAGAAGCATTCTCTCGAACTACTCTAGTTAATAATTTATGCAACTCAGAATCCTCCCACCAAAGCTTCGTTATTTCTAACCTCACTTTTAAATTCAAGTAATTAATCTCTTAACTTCCCCAAAAGTGGTGGTGTTCAACAACAATCTAACCAAATGTTCTTTCTCAAACAACACAAGGTGAATAGACACGATTAATCGATGGCCCTTTCAATTAACCACAACACAATACGTAATTGAACAATCATAGAACAAACACGACTCAATTATAACAAAATAGAGTCAAGACTTCATCCAACAATTGGTTCTATCAACCCTATATAACAGATTTAGCTACTCATGCTAATGGAAAATAAATCACTAAAATAATTCATAATCAACAAATAGAAGTATCAAGAAGAAGATGAAAACTCTTAGGAATTTTATCCGTCTTCTCTCCCTCGTTCTTGCCTCTAAAATCTTCTAAAAACAGCTCTCTTTCACTTCTGGGCGAGTTTAGGTTTCATATAGGTTTAGGTTAGTCGCCTAAGAAATTACATAATTAACCCTGCGTGTTTGGCTTTCGTCCGCGGCCGCGGATTCGACCGCGGATCCGGCTGCGGATTTGGACTGCCTCACTGCCTTGAGTTCGCGGCCCACTCCGCGGCCGCACACCTGGAGGGGTCGTTTCGCTTGCTTTTCTCGCTCCTTTTCGACCGGACTAACCTTCGATTGCCCTTCCACATTCCATGTTGACTCTAAAACACTCGTTAGCTCCCTCCTAGCTCGGAGTAGCTCCTGCAAAGCATCAAATTCTTAATTAGAGCATTTTGTTATCTTTTAGCATTCAAATATCAATAAAGTGCGGCTAAATTAGAGTGTAAGTAGTGTCTAAATTGCATGAATATAGCCTACTATCAACACCCCACACTTAAAGCATTGCTCGTCCTCGAGCAATCAAACCACACTCTAAGAGGCTTAATTTCACTGAGCGACTTCCCTATTCGTCACACCAAGAATATTTCACATAAATTGAGTACATTAGTGCAACATCTACACCTCAAGAGTTGACTCCCTCTAGCCACGCAATGTTCCTAACTGGCTTACTTACTCTATATCAAAGGTCTAGACTTACCTCTCCTTCATGAATCAAGTGCCTGCTCACAACAAAAGAGACTCATTTCACAATCAGTAAAATTCACACACGCTGAGGAACTTTAAAAGGAACATAATTCACTCACCCTCAGAAATGACATTCTTGTGCCACAGAAAACGCACTATAGACTTGCCCGTAGTATACGACTCTATTAATTGAGCTCACTCAGTCTAGGATCAAGTAGGACTTTATTTGGATGTAATGTAGGTTGTAGGTTGGGTAGGATATATTTGGATATATAATAGTGACTATACCTCCCTAAGCACTTTAATACATTTATTTTACAATCAAGTCCACACCTAAGTTAAACCAATATTTTCATTTTTTTTACACCACATATACCACCTCACTTCTTATTTGAGCACAATCACCTTAAAAGCCACCAAAGATTTATTACCAATCAACATGATACACTATTAACAATGTTCTTTTTTTTGTGTGGCCTTTTCCAACAAGATTTACCTTTCTCCTTATTTCCTAGTTCCACTCAAAAGCTCCATCANTTCAAACACTCAGACCAGGGTATTTCAGCCAAATTAAGAACATACATTTTAAGGCCTTCTTACAAGAGTCAACAAATGAGCCTAAGCGTCACACTAAAGTAACCGCTATATTCAAAGCATTACGAAATCAAACAAGGCTTCCTATTTTAATTCTTTCCATAGCCCATAAGTTCCTAACTAAAAAGAATAAAAAGCTAAATACACCCGGTTCAAACAAAACCCTTGGAAAAGAACCGTGGTTTAAAGAAAAACCAAGGGGGAATTGATACACTACTACAAAAGAAAATCTTTTTTTTTTCTGACTTTAGTCCCTCAAAAAACCCGACAAATGATATCCATCGTTGGGCCAAGTCGAAATTGATTTATACAACTAAACTACGAAACTATCTACATACAACAAAGTATCCCCCACCCCACACTTAAAAAGATGGCATGTCCCCATGTCATACAAAGTAAAGTAATGTGAGGTAAAGGAATTTCCCTGGTGGATTAGTCTTGATCAGAGACAGTGTCAGGGTCGAGATGACATGCTCTCCCCAGCGCATGCAATCAGCCCATGATTTTCTTTTCTGACTTCGCATTTTGGGTTGCCAAAGCATCAACTCTGGTCCCCAATTACGTGACGGAAGTGCGCAGTCCTGCCATGTCTTGTTCTAGGGCTGTCATTCGCGTGCTCCGTCTGACCTGGGATGGTCCTTCAGCCACTGCAGCTTGTTCTTGTGGGGGTGAGGTAGTTTCAACCTCCTCCTGCCCTTCGTCGCCCTCTTCTGATGCATTAGAATCGTCACTATGAGTTGCTCCTGGTGCCAACGGGTCTTTCTCGATGGTCA